AATCCCGAAGGACTATTAGTTTCGTTTTGGCATTTTGCGTCGGACTCATAAATGTCGGTTCACTTTTCAAACTGTTGCCACAAAATGTTAGAGTCCTGCATTATATTTGAAGAAATTAAATAATGAAAAATCTGCATAAATGTATGTATATTTCTCGTATTGTGATAAAACGACGGTACATAGAGTCATCGAATTTTGAATAACGTAATCCTCCAACGAATATGAGCATGTGGAAGACCCAATTTGAAATTTGAAATTTGTTTTATGATCGATTTCCTATTTTTTAAAACTTTGACGAATTTTTGATTAACAAACTCAAGGATTTCAAAGCGAGCAATGGCAACGTTGTGCAGAAAAAACATTTTTATCTCCAGCGCGTGAGTCTCTGTATCGGAAATTCTAAAGATATGCTCGTTTTAAAACTATTTTGCGATATTGCTGTTGCACTGGATCTTATGGTTTAAGTGCGAGGAACATGATATTTAATAAAGAAAGGTAACACACAACATTTCAGATTTTTTTTTTTTCTTCTTCTTAGCTTCTTATCTTGGAAAATGCTGGGCAACTATGATAAGGTGCTGGCTGCACTTACTGTATTTTGGCATTTTATCCATTTAGGATTCTTTGGCTTCTCCTATTTGAGCAATCACCAGTTCTGTGATTAGGACGAGTTTGATGTTCTTAGGTTCAAAGAAATAGTTCTCGGAAGAATAGTGTCATGTTCAGTAATTCTGGCACTGAGGTATTCGATATAAAAATATATAAATATTTCAATATTCACTGAAAAATGCATTAATTCTTTAATAACTATAAAAGACATTTCTTCCGCCTTCTTAGCATGCCTTCATGGTGTAAAGGTCAGCACACTCGGCTCGTATTCGAGAGGTTCGTGGTTCGAGTCCCGACGAGGGCATTGCTCATTTTTCATCTCTTCTGCTTTCAAAAAATACCTAATGTCTCTACAGTAGCGCACGAAATAAAAAAGGTGATGGAGGATTTAGCGACTAGGTTCCTAATCCCCAGTCGCCGTTTAACGAGGGGAGTATAAAAGATATTTCTCCCACCTTCTTAGCATGCTTTCGTGGTGTAGTGGTCAGCAAACTCGGTGCATATTAGAAAGGTCCGTGGCTTGAGTCCCGGCGAGGGCATTGCTTATTTTTCATCTCTCCTGCTTTCAAAAAATACCTGATGTTTCTACAACTGTTTATGGCCATGCCATTGTAACAAAATTGATATAACATGACAAATATCAAAAATAAAGGTATAAAGAACTTGGTTTTCTTCTAGTTAACTGAGATTTTTATGAAGAGAAATTCTGCATTCGTTAAGAGCGGCTGTAATTTTCCTTTTGTCTGTGGCAGTGGGAAGCCAATTTTGTAGGCGAATTACATTTAGTATTCATAACATAATGTTCTACATGTTTTCTTCATAACGTGCCCTATTATAGTTCTAAGTGTTAACAGCTGATCCTCGTTTAATTTTTCAAAATGTTTGACTTTGGTGATTCTAACTACTTAGCTAAGTAATTCCTCTAAAAATAAGTTACTGGGGTTAACTTTATAGGAGAAATGCTCAGAGATTTCATATCTCCTGCTGCTGCACTGTTAGTTGTTCTGTAGTTATATCAAGATTCTTTTTACAGATACATTAAACTTATTTCTGACAGGCAGAGGTTTCTTTATGCTTCCAATGTTTTGATGTTTGACTGTTTTGGCAGCCGGTTCGAATCACTCGTCATCAGTATTGCTGTTAAACCTATGCTTTCAGCTGAGCGTAAAAATTTTTCGTTTAATTGTTTTAGTAGTTCTCATAGACTTTACTAATCCAGAAGTTTCAACTTACCCCTGAAGTCAGCTGCTTTTTTCTTAGGAGCGGCGAGCTGCTGGGTAAGGACATCTGTTACTGAAGTATCCTTGTCCGAAATTGATCGTGTTGTTCGAAGTCCGAACAGCTGCTTTCTCCCTCTACAGAAGAATTAACGGCCTCGAATGTGTAATGATCTATTTGCACAATTAAAGGTCAGCCGAAATCGCCTACGTTTGCATTCATAGCGCCTTAGGTTCAACTCTGAAGACTCTGGGATGATTGTAATTTGATAAAGGGACATTTTTTACATTCACTTGTTACAAATAAATATCAGCCTTCTTCTTTATCTTAACGTAGGGAAATTATGCAAGTCTTTACATTATGTTGCAATTATCTCTGTATCAATATGTTAGCCCTACTGTTTAATGATCAGGTAGGTCTGGATATCGCCAAAAAAGAGATACATAGATTTTCCGGAGTTTTTCCAGGATTCAGATTTAAATATTTTTTTGCAATTGTTAACTTATTTCGCCAGTGTTTCGAAAGTTTCTTCAGGTTGACCGCCAGTTGCGAATGTGAGATCATTGCAATTTGTCTCAAATCTGAGGAAAACATGCGCTTTTTAAAACTATGTTACAATTCTGATGAAGGCACAGCTTTGGACTTTGTTGTTTAGGAGACGATTTTGAAGTTTTGCAGAAAAGATACCTCTCGTAAAATATATCATGATAATTTTGAGACATGTAGAAAATTTTTTATTTTTTAATTTTTTTCTGTCCTGTTCAAAATTACTAAAAATGCATTTCGTTAGTAATGCTAATTTTTTCTTCAGCTAAAATTAATTTATCATGCAAATGATATCATTACATTGATAGCATTACTTTTATCATACATACAATGCATAACACCAATCCCAAATATAATCATTTCCATCGGCAGTGATTGCTTGCTGAATTTATTTCATCACTAAAAATCGAACTGATTCATTGGGTTTTGCTGATGTGTTGTGAGGCTTTCCAAAGCACTTCTCTTCAAATATTTTAGCTTTTCTTTTTTGAATTTTTTCGAATCTTCCATGACGAATCTTTATATCACTCTTCTTAGCGATATGCCATAACTACTACTTAATGCATAAGTAGTTCTGGATATTACTCAGAGAGAGAGAGAGATTTTCGGGAGTTTTTTCAAAATGCAGGTTTGTAACTTTATGCACCAACATTTTCAAAGCATCTGAAGTCAGATTGACAGCTAGTTGCGAATGTGGGATACATTCCGATTATCGCAAACCTGTTCAAAATATTAAGCAAATTTTGTGCTTTTTGAAACTATGTTAGAATTTTGATGAACGCACAGCTTAGGACATCGTTGTTTATGAGATTATTTTCCAGCTTTGTCTGAAGGATGATTCTCATAAAATATATGACAAGAGGATTTTATATCATTTCGACACTTTCTGGTTTGTTCACCGTTTTGTTTCTTTCACCTCCAAATTTATTAAAAACCCGCTTTGACTTACATCTGAAATTAATTTATTATGTAAATTTTATCATTACATCAATATCATAAATTTAGTTTTTCATGGAAATCCCAAAAATAAAAATATCCATCGTTTGTGATCATTTGCTGTGCTTTTTTATAAGGTATTTCTCTCGCTTTCTTAGTTAACCCTTCCTGAGTTAACGTTTCTGTTACTGAACTTAAACGATTATTCGCTTATCTGTTACTAGATTCCTCAACACTAGTTAGTAGATAAAAGGAACTAGATTCTTCAACACTAGTTAATACATAAAAGGAACTAGATTCCTCAACACTAGTTAATAGATAAAAGGAACTAGATTCCTCAACACTAGTTAATAGATAAAAGGAAGGAACCTACAGTATTAAGAATGATTATTTCATCAAAAATATATTTTCAGTGATTTTTCTCACCTTAAAATTAATTTCGCAACTAGATTTAGTATGAAAATGATAACAAACTGATTAATTTGGATACATTGTATAAATACCAAGCTTAGATTTATTACATATTGTGTTTGTAAATCTGGGGGATCAGGGAATAAAATTGTAAACGCGCTTAATTATGTTGTGAGATAATAAGAGCCAGTCACAGTTTTTGTTTTAAACAAAAAAAAATTATTATCTTCATTGCATATTTGTTTATATTAATAATCACTTTCATTACATAACAGAAGTTGCTTAACAAGAAATCAGTGTTAAATGTAAATCTACAATCTACATTAAAAAAAATGTCGGATCTAAGAAGCTTAGGAAATTTATGAATCAACTAAATTTAACTCACAAATGTGTTTCTATTTTCAAAATATCGCAACGACAAACTGGTGACAATTTACATTCCTTCCCATACACCCCAGAATTGAAAAAGGCATCACGAAAACTTACTATATAAAGAAGAACAGCATAGATAATACAGCCCTTCAAATATTGTCCTCTCCCATGACATGCCAGATCTCCCTAATGTAATACTGGGCAAAACTACTGGAAGGTTCTAGTTTCGTTCCGAATCTAAATTTCTGTATGAAAGGTGGAAGACCATGGATTAAAAATTGCATAATCCGAGATAATATTGCAAAAACGTGTGGATTTAAATATCGACATAATCCATACAAAACGATTTTATAGTTACAAGTGTTTATCAATGGTTTATAATATTAATGCATCAATAGTTTGTTGTAACATTACAATGTTATTTTGCATCATCTGACTTGTAACAATAAATATTAGAGATTAACTTTTATGAATCTATGACTCCTTTTACAAATGCTACAGAATTTTATTTCAATATTCTGAGCTTAACTCATCAGTTTATAAAATTTAATAAAATGTTACACTAGGAGAAATTTTCAGCACGGTATGGACCCCAAAACAAGTATAATCTAATTTCGATTATGCAAGCAATCTATCTCTGAAACAGTAAGCAAAGTTTTACTCTCATAACAGCTTCCTCTTTATCCAAACGATGGTACGGGAAACAAGACAAAAACCCATTGGAGGGTAAAAGATAAATGCAAACTGTACAAGGCAAAAGCCCGCAAAAAAGAACCTTATTGTTGTAACTGCTCACAAGGCAAATACCCATACGCATGAAAGCGCACATAAATAAAAGCGTACATAGATAAATTTCCACACTGATAAAAGCCAACATTGATATAAACCTGCACTCATAAAGGCCCACACTAATAAAAGGTCAGATCGTATCTGTCAATATAAAGTGCAGTCAGTTCGTCGTATTTCAGTGGGTTTTTGCTCAACTCATTCTGAAAAACAAAACAGATATATCAAGAATTTAACTAAATAAGCCTGAAATTAATTATCAGTTGCTGTATAATATTATACAGATGAGAATTCTTGAACAAATAGATTCTCTGTGAAATATGAAGTTTAAGGGAAAACCAATCTTACAGAAAATCTCGATACCGAGCCCTCGAATGTGCTTTATTTGCATTACAGCATCAACTACGCTATTCCGAATGATGTCAATTCACCTACCGCTCATACACTTCATATATTTCTTTCTATAGAGAATATGTCAATGACGTCCATCTCCGAAATTCAAATATTGTAGCTTTCACACTCATGATATGACTTTCCCATAAACGTCTTAAACAGATGATACATACTAATAGATTAATAAAATCACACGGGATTGCTATAGTGTTAATATTTATTTTTAGATGATTTTCAGAGAAACTTTAGTATAGTTTGTTTTTAGAAACAAACTATAGTGGGATGAAGCCTTGTTAAAGTTTTACTTACGAGAATTTTGATAATATTTGTTGTCAATTACACAAAATTTGAGAAACGAAAGCTATTGAAATAATTTTTGTTTAATTTGTGTGTAACATAACTAACGTACTTTTGACGAAAACAGCGATTTTTATTACCAACTAAAACTAATGTTTAATTTTAATAATGAATGTAATAAATAATATTACATTAGTAATAAAAATTACGACAAAAATTTAATTAAGAAACTACGATAATCTAAAATATAAATGGTAACGCCCTCTGCCACCCATATATACTAGATCAGACAATCCCCATTTCCAAAGTCTTAACATAAGATTTTTTTAATTCTCGACATGGGAGTATAGCCCTTTAAACTGGAACCAAATTTTCAGATTTCTACACGGGATTTCCTGCCCTCCTTTCCGTGTGCTTTCGTCATGTACACTGGTGTGCAAAAATTAAGGACGAAACGGTTTTTTTCAATATAACTTTGTACAAAAGCTTTCCAAATCAACACATTTAATACCGTAAGATGCCCAATACGTAAGGACATGAGTAATGTAAGCAACACTTACTAAGAGAAATCAGAGGGATAAAAAGAAGCTTTATTGAGAAAGTAGCAAGGAGCGCAATGCGACTGAAGGCCGAAACATCCCTGTGATGAGTGTCCAGCAAGAAACATCCGGTCTTTAATAGGGGATATGATCTCCCCTGACTGCTAGGCAGGTTTCACAGCGTCTGCCCATGCTGAGAATGAGGGTGTCAATGAGTTGTTGAGGCATTGCTGCCCATTCGTCATCCAGCGCCAATCGAAGCTCCGGAATCTTTACTGGTGGTAAGGTAAGAGCTGCCAAGCGTCTGCCTAGAAAATCCCATACATGCTCGATGGGATTGAGATCCGTAGATCGTGCCGGCCAATCCATACGTTCAATATCCTCACTCTCTAAGAGCTGTTTGGCAGCTACTGTGCGATGACATGGTGCATTGTCGTCCATGAAAAGGAACTGCGGACCCATAGCGCCTCTATAAAGACGCACATACGGAAGAAGAATCTCGTTACAATAACGGGTCCCGTTGACTGAACCTGCGTCGAAGATGTGAAGGTCTGTACGACTACCTAGCATGATGCCTCCCCAAACGAGAACACCGGCACCTCCATACCTGTGCCTTTCAATGATGTTCGAGGGATGATTGCGGCTTCCCCGCTCTCTCCAGATGAGTATGCGATGAGAATCGCTACTCAGACTGAATCTGCTCTCATCTGTAAAGAGTACTCGTCCCCATTCATTGTCTCTCCAATTCCGGTGTTCCCGGCACCACAGAGAACGCCTTCTCCAAAGGGCAGGCGTTAGAGGTACACACCGTACAGGGCGTCGTGCAAACAGACCACCACTGTGCAGTCTTCTGGCCACGGTAAAACGCGATATCGGTCGTCCAGTCGCCTGTGTCGTGTGTCTAGCGATTTCTCCCTCTATCTGCCGCCTGTTTCTTCTGGCCTGTAAGGCAATATACCGCTCATCTGCGGGTGTGGTTCCTCGTGGACGACCACTACTAAACCCCCGGATAGCTGTTCCTGTAGTTTGAAATTGTCTCCAAAGTCGTGAAACGATGCTATGAGCAATTCCGAACTCTGCAGCCACACTTGTCACACTGTGGCCTTCCTCCAACTTCCCAATGATTCGACCTCGGGTAAAAGCATCCAGATGTCGTCTAACAGATTGATTATTCGCCATTTCTCGCTGCAGCAGGCAGCAACTCGGTGTGTGATTTTAATTGCTATACCGGCGTGCAATCTCTTTGCCAGAAATACTGATCTTACACCGACAACATGCTTTATACTACTCAGACACTCCCCCATTACGTCTACCTGCATATCTGCGCATGTGCTACCGTACATCACCTTACTTAATCTCATGATTGGTCTTTCTGTCCACTCTGCCTCTTCGTTCAGCTGATATGCTAATTTTTCGACTTCGTCCTTAATTTTTGCACACCAGTGTAATTGGAAGAATACTCAAGACGTATTCGAAAGTTCCAGGTTTCGAGTCCCCGCGAGGGCAGTGCCCATTTTTCAACGCTTCTGCTTTAAAAAAATGAAGACAAAACTCTACAATATAAACTAAAACACCGTTATTTCTCTTTTCAAGCGCATTCTTTTTGTTCCAAATGCTGATTTAATTTACATAATTCAACGAACTTTTCTTCAAATTAAATGTCGGTTAATCGGAGAGTCTGTTATATACTATTTGTAATGCCTTTGTATATAAGTTATAAATCCTCAGTTGTATCTCTGTATACATCTGACTGTCTTAATATGTATATATGTATATGTTACCGTGAAAGACCGAAATTGGAGAATGTCGACTTTCACCGGAGAATATCAACATTCACCAAATATGTCGGTGAAAGATCGAATATTTCACTACATTCTTGTATATTCGGACCCTCACCGGTGTATGTCGACAATCACAGATATGCTCTGGTGAAAGTCGAAAAAGAGACGTCATAAAGTGCCCTAATAGTTTAAGTTGTTGCAATAAATAAGATTTGAATCACATGATTTAGTAAGTTTTTTATATCTGTTATTTTATTTTCTCATTTAGAACGTACTGTATAATTAAGTAAGTTTTTAACTTCTATTATTTTCCTTTCTCATTTTGAATGTATTGTGGTTTTAGGTTCTCATGTTCTTAAGTTCTTATTTCAAGTCTCAAGTGCGTTTATTCGCGACTGATTTACGGAGAAGAAAATATAATATTGTTATATGTTCAACATTCACCATTAGTACAGGGTGAATGTCGACATTGACCGGTGTAAGTCAGAAATAAGAGTATTTGGAAAATATTTCGGACATACACCAAGAGACTATGTGAATGTTGACATTCACCGGTGAAAGTCGATATTCTCCAGATTTCGGTGTTTCACCGTAACATATACAAATGCAACAATAATTCACGATTTATCTTTACACAAACAATATTTATGTACCGGGTAATCAAAAGTGCCCGGTTATTAATTTTCATAAACAGTATAAATTTCAAAATTTATATTAATATTAATATTTTTCAGTAAATGATATTATTAAAAGTAATAATATATTACCGTATATTCCACTTGTTGTTTATGCTGTTAGTTTTAAAAGCCGTTACTTTGGTGAAAGATAGGGATGAGCTATATTTCGCAATGTATTCTTATGGAATAGCTGTTGAGGGAACGGAAAACCGTTTCAAGAGACCTTTCCAGATGTTCCTGAACATTGCAGAGTCATTAGGGGTTTTTTTGAAGCAGGAGACTGAAAAAATGCGCAGTGCCGTGGCCGGGACTTGAAGTGAATATGCTTCGAGTGTGTTTTTAATTACACCACGAAGGCATGTGGAAAGCAGGAAGAAAATACCTTATAACCTAACAAAACAATGTTTTTTACCTTGGTACTTGATTTCGCTAAAAAGAAAACGTTCACCATAAGAAATAAGGCTGCAGACCGACTTGTCTGAGGTCGGACAAAATGGATGAAATCAGGAATGAAATGTTGCAATCACCCATCAAAGTGCGAGAGAAAGAGGGCATCGAAAAGTAAGTTTCTATTTTGCAAACTAATACTCAATCTTCAAAATTCGTTCTTTTTGGAACAAAATTATCTGCATTTTGCACCCAACGATTTTAGCTAACAGTACAAACTTCCTTCAAGTAATATATTACTTGTAGCAACACAGGCCTGTTCAAAATGTTTACGCAATATTAATAGACCCACTGCTTGCATTAAAGGGTCAGCCAAACATATGAGTACCCTAATGACTGCATCATGTAATAAAACAATTAGTTATGTTAGGAAATTAGACTCATTTCAAAGTTAAGTCTTCAAGGCGAAGAATAATGCGCAACAGTACCTACCAGATGAACTTTGTTGCTTGAATTGCTGACCAATATCAGTGTTACTGCGAGTCCTTCCACGAGATTCTTTTAATGTTTCAAATATAAGCAGCCGCTTTTCCCACTTCTCACACTCGGCAACAATGCTGTCTTAAAATTAGATCTCTTCAGTCTCATAGCCCTACGAGCGTTCTGAGTAATGATCAATTATTAGCCAAATCATTGCTCAGAATTATCTAGGAAACAATAAATGCAGTATTGTCAGATACGAGTGAAGGAAAATGTTACAAGTGTAACTTAACCCTTCAATGCATCCTTTTTTGTATTTTTACCAAACATTTTTTTTTCATGGTCATGGCTTAAGTATGGAAAAATATTTAAAAAATTACTTAACACTTTTTATTGGTTATTTATTGAATTTTTAGGTTTGATGCATATATGCATCATCAGGCATTTAGATGAAATGGGAAATAATTTTATACTGTTGACAAAACACAAAACTCACTAGCTACTTCAAAACGCTAACTAAAAGAACAACTTTACAGCGCCATCTAGTGGTTCAAGCGTTTGCAACACTTATGAGGTATCATTAACTGGATTTAAACGTAACTTTACCCGAAGAAAAAAAGGTTAAATTTTCCAATCTTAGAGCATTATTTAATCTTAAGATTTTAATATCTTCTAGAAACTGAAGAATTCCATGTTTCTTCATGTAAACAATACACAGTTATTTTTCTTTATAGATCACAAAGCTGGTAGATGATACAGCACAGATAGTTTACGCATAGGTAAATATGTACTAATAGATTAATTATACGGCAGATGCAATATAAAGTCTCAGCTTACTGTTTTTTTCCTCATCTTGCGTTCCACATCCATGAAACAGGGGAACTGAAACAAAATTAAGATAAAATGGTTGATTTCAGACAAATACAGTAATTATACTTATATCCCAGATAAGTATACACATCATGTCTATAACGTCTTTACTGAGCCTTATCGTTTTTACTTTAGGCATTTATTTCTGTTGTAAAATTCCTTTAAATAAGGCAAATATTCCTGTTATGGCATTCTTAAATTTAAAACGTATGATTTTTCAAAAATTACTCAGTTTAATATATTAATACTCCCCTGTGCCTATAGTCATACTTAACAAGAGTTAATACTCCTTCTAAAAATGAAACAAAATATTTGACAACTGCACAACAGAAAGTAACAGAGGTATTTAATTTTAAATTTTGAGATGTTCAGTAGTCGCGCACAAATTAAATACCGGAGCTGTTTTCTCTTGTAAGGAACTAAAAATGAAATCTCACCTTAGAAAAAAGGTTTTGACATCCATAGATTAAATGACGAGAACTGCTATACTGATTATTATGAAAAATCTTAATCAGCTCACATGTTCAGAAACGGTTGCTATTGTAATGAATCTTTTTGTACGATATTTAGGTTATGACTCTAAAAATGCATGAGAATATTGATAAGTATTGTGTACAGGTTCGTAAAAGATCAAATGCACACAAGTCCGATGATAGGTTGATGAAATTTATTTTATCAAAAGAAATAATTCAGAGCTCTAGAACTCTGAAGTATTTCCACAGAAATCCGCCTCTTATAGGTGTTCGCAGTATCGCAGAATACTATCAGTAATTACACTTCAAACTAGAACCCAATGCAAAGCGCATCTAAAAGGCGAAGATTTTACAGATATCTCAATACTCTGAAGTCGCTCTGAACTAACGCAGAACAATAACTAAAAACCTGATATTCTCTCCGGTTTTATATATTTTCCCCCTGGCTGCCTAGAAATTTCTAGTACTTTCTGCTTCTCGAAATTACTGGAAAGCATGGGAGGTCCGGGTACGGTTACAGCTATATAGAAGATCAGCTAGAGGTACTCAATTACAATTATGCAGGAACCGGAACAATTGTCGCCGAATGGTCGCCATGTTTGACGTTTTTGCCTCCCAGTACCTCAACTCTTCTATAATACCACGAAGAGCTCCACATCGGAGCGGGGGAGTCCCTATCCATTTCTTCTCCAGAATCACAAAGTGGGCAAATAGGATCGCTTGAAATGCCAATGGGGTGCAGATGGGCGGCAAGGCAATCATGTCCTGTAAACAGACGAAACCCCGCAACTGCATTGCGTCTTGGACTACCGGGAATAAGAAAACAACTTACCATTCTTTAACTTAACGAGTCTGAAGATCTCTGAAGACATTAGGTGTAAATAAATATTTTAAAAACAGTTTAATTCCCCAGTAAGAGATGGCTGCATTAGGAGGTTGTAGTAAGCTGGCTGCTCTTTTGGCAAGGAAATCAGCTCGATCATTGCTCCATAGACCAGGCATCCACTGGAGAGCGATTTGTTTCCCACTTAAAGTGAGATTTCTCAGGAACTCTTGACATTGCAAAATTTCAGGTGTTAATGGGTGTTCAACAGAGCTAATTTAATGAATGCCTACGTGAGAATCAGAAAAAAATGACTGCCTTTGAACTTGTAATGGACAGCTAATAATTGCTTTAGGGATATACATATGGGTATTACTTCACCATCAAAGGAGGTACCAAAGTATCCTGCAGAAAAAAAAACGCACCAAGACCTTTAGAATAAGAGCCAACGTTAAAATGAAAGTCAATCTGAGAATCATCAATAAAAATGTGCAGCCACTGAGGAGATAGATATCTAGTCGCAAATGGTCTCCAACGCGAGACATTTCAAACCGCTTGGTGTAACATGTCTCTACCTACAAAAGGCTTCTGGTTGTCAAGAGTGGTTGTATATTACCTGAAATCTCAAGCTCTTTTTTAATGTCTAGGACAGTTTGAATAAATCTACACTGGGTTTTTAATTTCCTAGACTCGACTACGTAGTCGTTCCAGTAGGGATCCTCTATCCCCAGTAGCTTGTCATGCAAAACCAAGGCCCTTCATAATATTCCGGAAGGATTTATTTCCTGTGAACAATAACATCGCATCGATAGGTGTGGACTTTGCTGCTCCTGTATTCAAAGGAAGAGCTAGAAATAATAAAAGTATTTGTACAGAAAAGGACGTATATCAGAATAGTTACATTACGTTTACTTTTATTTCTCTTTTACAATTCAGATTTCATATCTGGCAGTATTAAAGCAGCCTCAAGATTGTGATATTCCTCGTATGTGATCAAGAATATTATGATTGCTAGAAAATTATTTTTCTACTTTTCACTGCGTTTGACTAATGACCTTTAGAATAAGAAGTTTTTTTTTATCTATTCTTATTTCTCCTATTGAGATACGTAACTGTATTTATCGTACTTTCTATATACTTGCTAGTTTACTTTTGTTAGTAACTTCTTTTGCAATATTTACTTTTGTAATATTATATCCCAGAACCTAATGAAAGCATAATTATTAATTTCTAAATGTCTGTAAAACGCTTACAAAATCATCACGAGGAATAGAACAGCCGATGCCAGCCAAGTCCTCGTAGCTAGCGATTGTGCCAATATTACACTTGTTGGCTTCTTCGAAAACCCACTGAGCAGTCTGCAAAAAAAATTACCGGTTAAACAAATGCGAAAATCAAAATCAATCATAAATCATAGTTATTGAACATTTATTATACTATAAGTTATTGATGAAATGAATAACTTGATTCATTTTATATTCTATTTAACTTGAATTCATATACATTGTTTTATATTCTAATTTAACTTGAATTCCGTAGGATTCTTGGGTGGTATGTATTAGGTATAAGATAAGAAAGGAATATCAGCAAATAAAAGAGAAGTACTTTCATCAACAAGAACAAGCCCACCAGCGGCCGAGCGGTAAAATCGCTGAACACTGGTAGTCCGAGGTTTGAATCCCGCGAACGGGCTAGATGCATGGGCGTTTTCGTGGTTTTCCCCATTTGTAACGTGTATACGAGCCAGTTTTCCTTAGAAAGTCCTCCACGAAGGCATCCCTCCTCTTTTAGGCAGATAGCCCTCGAGGCTTTGCCATAATCACACACACACATCAACAAGAACAAAAAAATTGTATATTCAGTTTAAATAATAGTATAATGTGATAAATTTATATAAATAATAGTTAATGTACAAATTGAAATATAAAATAGTTAAAACTTCCGGTTTTGCTAGAATTAGGAAAAACTGTAGTAGAGCATATTTCCATGTCGCTGCTAAAGTATCGCTTTTTAAGACAGATTTTTTCACTTATGACTTTAACACATAAAGGTTGTTAAAAATTTCCTTTTCATTTAATTTATATACCTTTTTATTGATTGCATAATGCTAATAAAACCTCTTTGATAGTATTTACCAAAAGTAGATTATAATGGCTAAAGGAGGCTCTAGCCACATTTATGAGTTCGGCTCTTATGCGTTTTTTCCCTTTCTCACATATGTAATAACAGTTTTCCGTCTCTGATGTACCCTGGACAGCGTTCTTGGTAATTAGATGACTAAATGACTATTTCAGTCATTTCCAACGAATGCTAAATGCACAAGTATCCAGCCAACTGAAGAGGAAAGTTGTCTGACATGTGAGTTAATAACTATATCATGCTATAATACATATGAGTTATAGGTCGCATAAAGACGGTAGTGAGATACACGATGACATACATTTAAACATGATCCTTACTACTATCGGAACGGAAAAAAAGGTTTAATTCTGTTTAGATGTTAATCAAGTGTTAACGGATTTGATAGTGATGCTAGTGTTAATGGTGCTGATAAATGAGTCGCAGTTGCATAATATCTTTGGATATCAAGATTATATAAAACGAAAATAGATACCTATTTATTGGAAGGCTGACACTTTTACACGCTTTACTTACCTACAAAATTCATTTTTGTTTCTTTCTTAATGATAAACATAGATACTAAAAAGGAGTAAGCTAATAGAGTTGTACGTTAATTTTAAGAAAATGCACGGCAATGATCATCGCGAAATTCTGTTAAATGCCTAAGGTAAGGCATAATTTTATTCTCTAATCTCAAATCACAGCATCCTGAACTGTTTTAATAAAAAGATATGCAAGGAGATTCGCTGCCGGATTTACAAACTTCTGAAGGGGACAGATTATTAAGAGGAATTGGGGCCAGATATTAATGCAGGGTCATAAACAAAACTGTAACAAGATGGACAGAGTTGTTGGAGAACCGGTAAAAGGTTCCTGCACAAAACTCGTCATTTGACAATTGACTCCAGAGGTAGTAGTATGAAAGTTATTACTAATGCAGAATTAACAGCTATAGATCAGCTGATTGTAATGAGTTACTGTGCGCCTGCACCAGGAGCACTACCTGTGGAGGCGAGGTTTGTACGCTATATCAATGATTATGTGAAGGTGTATCATGTCATCGCTGTATCAAGATCATCGGGTTTTCTTTGATAGATATGCTATGAATTGGGAAGAAATCGAGTCCTTAAATCACTTAAATTGAACAGATGATGCATTATTATTAGAACATGTGCCAGTACAGGAACAATTGCTACTCGTTTCAGTCTTCTCCAGTCCTTAAGATTATGCATAGATGAATGTATTGTTATAGGTTTGATTACACTGTCATAAGATTTTCTGGAAGAAGTCTTAACCAAACTGCTGAATGAGCAACAGATCCAGCAGTCGCGCCATGGTATATGATTTCAGCAGGATTGGGTCACAGCCCATTGCCTCTCTGATGTTAGAGAACTCTTAGGTCCAATATTCTGGAACACAGTGGATTTGATGTGGTGTTCTATTTCATTGGTCTACGTGATTGCCAGGTCTATCCTCTCTGGGTTTCTCTTCTGGGTCACATGAACTTCTCTACGATACATCTGTGGGTGGTGAGGCATATTTTGTAGCGCAAATCTTAGTAGCTGCCGCGCTGTCTGAGAGAAGTAGAGAGAATTTATAAACATTTAGGATTCCTTGCGCAATCCTGGATGCAAGATTGTGTTATTGCTGCTCGCCGAAACTTCAATAACCTTCAATAATTTGTCTTTATTCTGAGTTGTTACGAAGAACCGTACTGTGTAAAAGGAGAATAGGAGTACTTCCAGGCAACTAACTAATTTCAGCAGCACCAAGAAGAAGATCAAATCTCGGTAAGTGCAGTAATAATCTGTCAAAACAAAAATTGATCACGAGCAATAATTCACTTATCCATTGTAAAGGTATCCCTCAGTTCAGTAAACGAATGCATATTATTTTCACTTTTCTATTCCTCATCAGTAAAAGATATAACAGTTAAACTGGACACTCACACAAACTTCCTACAAAATTTCCCGAAATATCCCCATGTGACGGGAGATTTTTCAATGTGGACCATTCATTACGGGGATACCCATGTATGAATGCAAAAGGGAAAGAGTTATAAAATTTAACAATGAGAAATTAATAGAAATTAACAATAATTCATCGGAACCGGCATTCCAAACTGTCACGGGACCCGGATGGCAGTACACAAAAAAGAACAAAAGACAATCAACAGTGCAATATATCCAGAATTGGGAAGACCACTTCGAAGAGGATATCTCAGACCATAGATTTTGTTTATACGAAATCTCTTCTCACACCAACAAGATCACCAAAAGATTCCAGATCACCGAATTTTCTTGCCAAGAACAAGAAAATTCGTCAAGTCGATTACAAATGATATCCAAGAAAGCAACAACGAAATAAATAGCTCCGAAAACAAAGCTTAACAAATTTGACAAATATAATCCAAAATCACTGTGAATGCTACTTCAATATTAAAAGGACATAACACGACATAAGACGTATCCACTGATGAAACATTGCACTTAGATGGGAGCGAAACAAGACTAGGGCGCAGAAACATGGAAATGAAAAAAGCGAAAATTGAGGAAGAAAGAAAGCCCACGAATTTCAAAGACATATGTATAAAAGGTAGATTCATAAAACCAAACTAAACTGTTAGAGGAAGTATGTCAGAAAGCAAAACACAGAACAATGTAACAACAGAAAGCATCTAAAACTTAATAGATGGTGCATTCCTCTATGATTCCTCAGATGCAGATTCATCATCCCAGAGAAGAAACAATAGCCACACCCCCAAAATGAAGCAAAGAGATTCCATTACCTTCCTTTGTAATTTTAGAAATAATCTAACCCCTTCATAAACGTGCACCTGGCACCTACCGAAAAGCATCTGGCCCAAACGAGATCGATCATATCTTCAAGGTCCTACAAAAGAACATTCCCTATCTACTTTTCAACCTAATGAATCTTTTTCCTGCAATAGAAAAATTGCTGGAGACAGTCCTGTTGAACCACCTCAGACATCATATCAGAAATCAGAAAGTGCAATACAGCAAGCAGCTGCCACTTCGATATTACCCAAAATAAGAACACTGTACATGCAATAAATGAAGTTCTAGAGGAGATTTAAAGAAATAAATTAAAGAATTGACACTCAGCATTTCTGTGCTTAGACCTCCAAAATGTCTTCGATTCCTTTTTGTGGCAGAAGGTTCTAGACGCACTGACAGACATAAACTTTCCAAAAAGCATCTATGAAAGAGTTCAACATTAATTCACGAACAGAAGCAGGGTAGTTATAAATAATATTTGTACAACTAAAACAGTACAAGTCAGAGGCTGTCCGCAAGGCTCATGCCTAAGAGCAAATTTTTAGAACCTGACGTTAGACAAAATCATAAAGTACAAATCGCCCCATCATTCTAAATAATACTGCTCTCGCAAACGAGTGTATTTTATCATGAAGGGTAGCTTCAGAGACGTTTTACAAGGAATACAGCCTAGAAATTTTCAATTCTCTATGCAAAGAGCAAAAACTACTAATTTATCAAGACATATTTCATGCCCTAACTATCCAAACCGTCACAAAAGATAACAAGACTTCCAACATTCGAAATCGAAGGAAATAAAACAAAAATTATAAACTCCCTAAAACATCTGGGAATCAACATTTACAAAAAGCTTAACTTTAAAAGTCATCTTTATTATACTGAAAGCAAGACCTTGAAAATCAAAACCAATCTAAAGCAAGCAAACGGAAAACGATGGGGTTGAGCAAGCCAGCCGTCATATGAGCAGAACCGATGCCAAAAAGAAAGCAAGAAAGGTTCATGCAGCCCCGAGCCTCTCCTACTGAACTATACAGGAAGCTACAGAACAATATCAACTCAAACCCTCTTCCAAATCGCTAACAGCACACCACTTTTCATACAGGCTAAACAAGAATTCCACAAGACAATAGTAAAAAGCAAAAACGAATGTAAAGCAACTAAAACTGAGAACTTGCAGCAGAAATATACGAGTCCTTAGCACTCGCATATAAGCACCACCTACGAAACAAAAATAACATCACACTAAGCATAAAAAAGCATACGAAACGAAATTCCCTCAATTCTATACGACGATTTCGGCCTAAAAGAAGGTAAAGGCAGAATAATCAAAATCTACCCAGATCCAAACTCGAAAATCGAACATATATTCCACTTACACCAAAAAAGTATTGTATTTCAGACGGAATCACTAGCGCTCCTGGAAGAGATAAAATACAGGGTTACAAACTCCCTAAAAGCATCATATACCTTTACAAATAAACTTTCAGCCATGCACGCCTTCGCGAACCAGCACTACAGATCAAATTTTGTACAAGAGAGTTCAGAAAGAACTTCAACATCACAAAATAAAGACTTCTTTGTCACCTGGCTGAAAGTACATGCATAAAAAGAGGATGCTGATATCCTAGCTAAAGAAACAGCAAGGGTTTAAAATGCTCAAAACATATCAGTGCTATGGCCTATCTTCTGTCTCAAGAAACTCATAACCAACGAATCTAAAGTTGAATAGCAGAACTAGGGCTATAAGCCCGAACACGCGAGAAGGATCTATCAGCCGTTCCTAAACGTAAGCACTGCATCCAGTTCAATAATAAGAGAAATAACAGAGTTTATAGCTAGACATGGTCTGTTTCTCACGTAATTTTACGAAAGTAACTTAGCTGCATCAGATCAGTGTGTATGGGGAGAAAGCGGCAGTCCCGAACACTACTTACTTAAATGATGCCTCACAGCTGAACATCATCTAAAACTTCTGAACTCAGAAAGTCAAATAAATTCTTTTATAATCATCTCAGAAAAGAAATTCGCTAAAATAATTAACTTCCTGTCAAAACGAGGCACTGTGCTATTCAACACAGCCCAAAATGGCATAACAAAGATACTCTTCTGAGCAAGAAGTGAAACTGAAATAACGTCTCATTTTCCAAAATGGCGCAACATTTACTGTAAGAGCAAACTACATGTAACTATAATAATTGAGCAATACAGCAAAACATGAGACTGTTAGCAATGGAAAACTAACGAGAATCTTCTGACTTATCAAATTCTAAAACTCTATCATAAGTATAGAAGTGAAAACAAATCTGATAATTTCACTCAAATTGCAGAATTTAACCTCAGATATCGCCCCTAATTGTGATAGAGTAAAACTGCAAACAGAACTGGAGTTGTTCTGCATAGTATTTAGGTCTAACAGGGACCAAGTATGAAACCATCGATACAAAAAACAATTTTATTGATTCGTTTCAGGTCTGAGAAACGCTGGCCAAGAGGTAGAGGGATCCTGTATCCACCAGAAGAGATAGAACCCGCGGTGCGGAACACACCAAATACACGTTGCTTGATGTGAAGCGCACCAAGTAGCCTCTGGAGGAGCCTCTTGTGTGCCTTATGAAGGGTAGTTATCTAGGTAATTGAGGTTAGACAAAACTCACATTAGCCCAATGGTTAAAAAATGGGTACTAATAACACTTCATCATATCTTTATTTACAAGTGTAGGAAAAACTTGTGTTTATCCTAAGGAAGTAGGTAATTAGCCCATTATACTACTTATCTAGAAAACCTATACCTTCCTCCCCTCGTCGAGTAGTGATCAAACACTGGAAGATAATTTTATTCCCTTACATACTGTTCTTTCATTTCTTGTGTTTATTGACCACTCGCACATGACAATGCCATTTCAGGTAATACATTGCTATCTGATCCCAATTCGCCTTTGAATAATACGCTTTTCATAGAAATCTGTATGCATCTATATAAATTTCCCTATATATGATGCTTCTTATTCTTTGTGATGATTGTGAGCTGAAAAGATTTTAATTTTCATCGTACAGAAGGTACAGAAGTGTTTCGTGTACAATCCATTAAAAATAAGAAATATATTATTACTTTCGAATTTGTGCGTCATCAGATATTTGTGACAGAATTAATGTATAGTTTGCAAAAGTTTTGTTTTCTAACATACTGGTGAGTTTTAATTTTTTAATAACAAATTTGTGTGTTTTTTCACAGAAAATACATAATGCAGCTTAAAAGCATTTCTCCATTTTTTATGCACTCGTGATATGTCTAATATTTTTAAATTCTCCTGGCTTTGCTATTGAATAAATAGATATGAATTGTGAAAGTGGATTTTTTAGATTGTACGTTTGCTTTCTTAGGTTGTCATTATACATCTGCTTTGTTTACTAGGCGATATCTCATCGACTGTTTATGCACAGCTTTGTATAACAAGCAACTATTCGATAAAATGATTCAAACTAAAAAGCTTCAAAGAATTACAGTTTTTCTTATACTTCTCTTTGTTTAATTATTATAAACACGCTAATCACTTTTAAGGCAATTAAAATTTGATCTTTCTAACTAGAGAACTGCAAAGTAATTCATATATTTCTTCCCATATTATGCTCCATTTTATATTATAATGGCCACTTGATCGCACGGCATCGTACATTAAAATTACTTCTGGATATTGTAAATAAAATATATTGCCAAATTATGTGTCTGCATCAGTAAACAGTCAGCGTAAAGATAAATGTTTTTTTTTTCCTGAAGATGATGATATTTTGTTTTAAAAAGCGTTTGAGAATTTTAGAAGTTAAAATTGATTCTCCAAATTTTGATTTTGTTCGTGTGAATACCCGAAATTGAAATTTTTTACAACAATTACTTATAGATTTGAGTAGTTTCCCGCATTTTACTAAAGCACTCTCTTAAATATCTACACGCCTGCCTGCTATTATTTGATATGTCCACTGAATGGCTTTATGTTGAGTTTAAAGAAATGCCAAGAGAAATCACGGTATTTGGAATTTGGCACTAAATGCCATCATTCAACTTATAGAAAGGATTCTGCTTCGAAGCTTAAAATCGAAAGAATTTGATAAATTGCTCAGAAATAATTTCTTTTGCATTTATACTCACATCTATAATAAAAATTCAGTTTTTGTTTTCCTTTTACAAAATTTAAAAGCATCTTATAGCGCAAATCATTTTTCCTTGAAGTTTTCGAAAACATATATCCACTGTACTTTATTTTGTAATTTATGATTTAAAAATTTTCTGAATACTTCTTTTAATTTTTCTCTCGTGATCCGGCTTTAATAACATTTCTTAGAATACGCTTTCCCTTAAACAGTTACTGTTTACTTTGAATTGTTACTTACATAAAAGGCAAGCTATAAAATTGTATTTGTAATATTTACATCTTTCATATAAATATGTAAGAAATTATTACTCTCAAACAGAAAAAGTTGATTTTGAACTGAAATAAAATTGAATTGTTGTGAGCATTATTTGTTTTCAATTTAATAAATTTGGCTTTATAGTTTCTGTGTTATTTGTTACTTTAGAAATTCAATATAAATTAAATAATTACGCTTTTAAAGAATAAGCATTGAAACAAAATTATACAAAAATTTTACCTCTTCTTTCATAAATGAGAAACACCTCTTATAACTCTCTTCACCACCTATATAAAAGAACAATCATTTTATAATTCCAAAGCATTCGAGAATATCATTTACAGCAATCTAACATCAAATTGATAAATGAACACATGAAATTCAAAACTAGAATTAAGACCATTGTCTTGATCCATTTTGTAAAATAATCTTTCTAATCATATAATTTCATTCATTAGCATAAATTAGAATAACAGCTGATTTTTAAGTAAAAAATCAAATTAGTGCCATAATAAACGTTAATTTTATTTACAAATTATGTCCCGAACTCCTCTCTTTCTATTGCGCTTAAATTCAAATTAATCTGAAATAATTTTCTGTGCTGTATATATCGGGCTGGCAAAACAGTAATTTCAGTATTTTAGTGTGAAATAAAACTCAATTTTTCCTCTACAAAATTTAAATTTATTCAGTCAAATACCTTCCGTTCTGTTCGATGACCTTTCGTCGTCTTTCTCATAGCTTCAGAATTCCTGCTTATAGAGCTTCTGGTCTTTCAACAAAAACCTCAACCAGTTACGATTTAAGGCCATCGTTATTACTGAAATTTTCACCAGCTAGGAAGTTCTGTAAACTTCAAAATGAATTATTGTTACTGTAGTTGCTACTAATATCACTTGTCTGACATCAGAACAAGCCCACGAAATTTATCGGAATACAAAATTACCCCTGTCATTGGCCAGAGCCTTGGACACCATACAGGTTACAGTACGATTTTGCTCAATTCCACCCGAGTTTTGAGGAACAGCACCCTGGGGGTGGGTATGAAGGTCTACCACCCCTCTTTCTTTACCATCAAACAACGCTAAAGGACTTTCCGTTCGCCATGTATTACCCCCATGCTGCAAAGACACTACACATTTACAATCATCCATGCCTTCTCCGGAATCAATACCAGGGCTCTTCAGGTAATCAGATTCACTAACCACTATTCCGGTTGGTCTACAAAATAAATCAGAATCTGATGGTGCAATGTCGGGGCTATATTGGGGACGTGACATCACTTCTCAGCAAAGCTCCAATAATTTCGAACGTGTTGCTAAATACGTGCGAGGCCTCGCATTGTCATGGTGGAACACAATACCTTTCCGATTTGACAATTCGATTACTTCTTCCATTTTCGCATGTTGTTGAAAGTAAGCATCTGAGTTAATCGTTTGGATGCTACGAAGCAATTCAAAATACACTTCATATTTGTAATCTCTCCTAATTTATATCACGATCTTTTCCTGATGCAGTTTGGCTTTGGATATGGATTTGTACTGATCCATCATGTTTAGACCTTGATCGTTTTCGATTAATGTTATCGTAGACGATACATTTTTCATAACCAGTGATAATTCGCTCCAAAATGAGTTTACTGAATTTCATTTGAAGTACGTATAGCCTAGCACTGTCTCATTGTATTAAGTGAATTTATTTTAAATTAATTTAGCAAATTTTAACACACAAATGATTTTTAAAAGATATTTCCTTTGCTAAAATCAGAAAAATTGTCAATGGCAATTTTTAGTGCATGTGATGATTGAAAAGTTAGGCTATAAAGACAGCAGTTATAAATCCATTTAAAAATATGAACATTTTCTAAAAATTGTTATAGCTCTCCTCCTTTTTTGTAGCTTTTTAATAATTTAAGATGCTATTTAAGTTGATCTACCAACTCACACCGGTGACTACTATATCAATGACAGCTAACCGTCAGTCTGTAGTTAAAATCTTTTGGACTTTTTCTACAGTTTATCTTAACAAAATACCTATATCAATTATTACGAAATGTATTTGATCATTAAAGAATCACAAGATAAAACAGATGCAACTTTCAATAAAGCCCAAATTTAATAATAGCCCAGTGACTATAAAAAATTATCTTTAAATCAGCGTTATCTCTAAATAGAGGGATTATTCTAAAACTTTAAATATATACATATTATAAAATGCTAAAATTCCTTTTTAATTTAATAATCAGTCAGTTATTTTGTTAAGCATACACGCAGCAAAAATAAATATATTTGCAAAGATAATATTCCATTGATTTTATAAGTTTTGGTACGGTGTCAATGAAGGGAATTCTTAAATACTTAAATACATGATATTGAATCAACTATCGTGATTTGATTTTACTTAGTACAGCAACTAAAACTTAGTATCTGTCACAGAAATTTAATTTAAAACATACCTTCACATTCACAAATTTGTCTCATAATACATAAATATATTTCTTTAGCATCATCGTCATTCTCGGACATTACGTTAGAAAAGATTTCTGTAAAATGTAACAAGGCAATAAAATACAGACCATTCCAAAACGAAGCCATGATTGCAATTGAATAATTTTTGCTCAACAAATGTTTTTGATATCTTCTTTCTTGTTTAACCGAACAGATTATGTAAATAGAACACTGTCTTTATTAATCATATGGAATAAAAGAATAAAAGCAGAGTAATATTTTTTTTTATTTTACTTCAGTACAAAATACGTTTTGCCTCTCTCTCTTTGCAGGAAGGCTTTCTGCTTGAATAAACTGTGGAATAAATTAAAGCTCGTATAATGCATTTATGTTAATTTGCAACAATAGAAAACAAATATTTCCTGAAAACATCCGTGATTTCGGCTTAAGCACGTCATAATGAAAGAGGAAAGTTTAAGAATTAATGTTTTTACCCTATTTGCTCATAACTTGCTACTAAAACGTTGTTAAAATACTTCAGATTTATTAGTTTTATTAGAATTTATTCAATATTCTTAGCTTTATTAATTATTCCATAGGTTTATTAGGGAATGTAATCACAAAGTTTACTCTATAAACAGATCTAGTCGCATTATATTAGTACAGAGGTTGGACTTTTCATTTTGTTTTTATTAAAATATGTACTGTGAAAATAGTTATTATGACAGAACCATTGATTAAAATATTAGTTAAGTTCATGGATAAATATAATTCTTTTGAAGATAGGTCTTTCATTTTAAAGCACATATGTTTGAAAATACGGTATTTTCGGAAGTTGAAAAAATTATTCCTTATAGAATCTAAGTTTCACATACTGTGTAGAGTCATTAGGTTTATTGGAAGCAGGAAAGATGAAAAATGTGCAAACACCTTCGCCGGGAATCGAACCAAGGACCTCTGGAATAAAGGCAAAGCGTGCAGACCACCACACCACGAAGGCATGCTAGGAAGGGGGGAGAAATACCTCATAACTGTACTGACTGTATAACTCGTTTTCGCTCGAAATTATATAGCTAAACGCATTTCACCCAAGGGTCTTGCAGTGTATTTGTAAAAGGTTTATCTAACTAAATGGAATTCCTGGATTTTGCTTCCCGATGATGACATAGTGTATTTATCAAGATTCGTATTCATAGAAATACTGAGGAATTCACAATAGTAATGTATTATGATGCTAGAAAAGATGATAAACTACAGAGCAACAGCAAGCACGCAAGTTCTGAGGGAAATCTTCTTATACCGCATACATGTTCGGTTCCAGGTGAACGGGCGAGCCTACCAGTGGCCGAGCGGTAAAGTCACTCAACACTGGTATTTCGGTCCGAGGTTCGAATTCCGCGAACGACTGGCTGCATGGTTGTTTTCGTGATTATCTCCACGTGTAACATGTATACGAGCAAGTTCCCTTAGAACGTCCTCTAAGAAGGCATCTCTCCTGTTATGCAGATAGCCCTCGAGTGCTTTGCTATAATCAAATAAACAAACAAAACCAAGTGCAATGTATCGCTACATATCATGTAGCAGCAGGATGCTCCCCAGATCACAATTATCGATTTCTTACAATGGAAACACTACGGAGTTTGGAGCAATGGAATGTTTGATTTATATGCAGAGAACTTAAACTTATTTTCGGAATAGAAAACTTTAAACATAAACTATAACTTCATCGAGATTCTAACTATATATTTCTCGATTGCAGTTGGACATGCGCTTTACATCATTAGAAACACTTAAGGGGGAATGCGATACTTCAGCGTATTCTCCCACATTTGAAGTATTCTTTCTCATTTGGGAGAACCAGGAGATCCTATTGGCCAAACCCGTGTGGTAACGAATTACTGTGACTGAATATTGCAAAAATGCTGAAATATATGAAGCTCAGCTAATCAGTAGTTGAGAAAAAATTGAATGTATGGATTAGGCATAATAAGGAACAAGTTAGCAACTATAGGTAAACCAGCACAACACTGCTTCTACCACAAGTTTTAATTTGAAGAAAAATTTAAAAGAAAGAATATATCTTATTATATTTCGCCTGCGACAGGACCAGATAACCATCCTGTTATATCTCGCCTGCGAGAGGACCGCGAGATATAACAGGATGAATCAATGCCCTAGAAAAACAGGTGAGGAATTTATATATATTGCACTGTACTCATTTATTGTTCACATTGTGGATGTCTTTTGTAACCACCTATACATAACTCTGTAAATATGTAACTGAAATTGTTCTTCTCACCAACAATGCACCCTTCTTCCATCACTGCACTATCGTCTCGTCCAGCATTTGCTTGCACTGCCCCCAGCACTTGAGCACAATGTGTATATATAAGTGTGTTATGTTGATCAAGTTATTTCCGTCAGCGGAGATACCTGGCCGATATGCTAACTACCCAGTGGACCGGCTGCCTCGCTGTCGGTGGAAAGAAAGAAAGGTAAGGAAATTAAGAAAGAATTTCGTGGGGCTTTTGATTATAGATATGATAAAATAAATGGAACGTTTGGCCTTATTTGGAAAGATAACAACAATGTTAGGATGTTATTACATCATTTGGAAGTTTTACCTTTTGGACGTGTGCAAAAATGGTCTAGAATTGAGGAAAAACGATTGATTATTTCTCAGCTTAAAGCCATTGTAATTTACAATAATAGCATGGGTGGTGTTCATAAGCTTTATTGGAACATGTAAAAGTATGGAATAAAAATTAAGAGGCAAGAAATGGTACTTTCCTATTTTTACAAACGTAATGGATATGGCTGTAGTTCAGAGTGTCTAAACTGTGTCTCGGAACCTGCAGTAGGGGTCTTCAAAAATGTTAGCAATTTTGATATTTCTTTAACTTATTATAATAATTTTATAATTACCTCCTATTTTTATATAATGTATTTTAAGATAGATAAAGATAAGACAATACAGACAAATTAAAAACGAAAACGTTTCGACGCCTTTTTTATAATAGAAACGTTAACTTTACTTTAAAAATTACAGTTAACGAACTGAAACTGCAATAGTATATTACAGTACAAGTGAAGAAACTGACAGTTTTACTCATGCGTGTGTCGGATTTGCGCAATGCTTATAGAGTCCCACAAGATATTCGTAAATATTATGGAGTCCCCACAATACTGCATACTGTTATAAGGTATTTCTTCCGCTTTCCCACCGTGCTTTCGTGGTGTAGTGATTCTGCACGCTGGGCCGGTATTCCAAAGGTCCGCGGTTCGATTCCCGGCGAAGGCCTTGCTCATTTTTCATCTCTCTGGCTTTTCCAAAAAATCCTAGTGTCTCTATACTGTTAATGCTCCAACAATATACTGCGTCGCTGAAAAAATGCTTTTATTAAATTTCAGAAGAGTAGTTACCAGGTTCAGTTTGAATTTACACTCTCTGTCTGACCCAAAAATTAGTATACAATCCTACAATGTAGGAAAAAAGACCATGCTACATTGTGAGTTCACAAAAACACGTAAGCAGTGAAAAAAATTCTATGTAGAAAGAACATTAGATGAAAAACAGAAGAAATGCGCGATTTCTAAAAGAAAGTTCGAAAACAATGTGATGTTATTACCCCATGCCACAATTAAGAAAATTATACAATTATTTACGTGTAAAGTGTCGTGATCTCTAAATAGGGTTATTTACATGCAAAAGAGGAATTACATTTGAAAAAAAGGGGAGTTAAAATATCTGGCAGTTAATGGGTTAAATTTTTATTCACATAACGAAAATAGTACTAAGGTGTTAGTTTTCGAATCTGGAATTCTTTTAAGATTTGAAAATTAAAATATGTAGAGACATTAGTTATTTTAAGCGGAAGATGTAAAAAATGAGCATTGCCCTCTCTGGGACTCGAACTTGGAGCTCCCGAATACGCAATCAGTGCGTTAATCGCTACACCACGAAGGCACTGTAGAAGGAGGGATAAAATATCTTGAACACTTCGCCTTTTAACGGACGACTGGGGATTCGGTTGTAGAGACATTAGGTAATTTTTTTCGAAGACAGAGAAATGAAAAAGAGCAATCGCCTTCGCCGGGAATCGAACCACGGACCTCTGGAATACCGGCCCAGCGTGCAGAACCACTACACGACGAAGGCACGCTAGGAAAGCGGGAGAAATACCTTATATATTCCCCTTTTTAAAGGACGACTGGGGTTTTAGGGGACCCAATCGCCAAATCCTGGGTGTGCAGAAACCTCATCCAACACCCTTTTAGTTCGGGCGCCACTGTAGAGACATTAGGTGATTTTTTTCGGAGCCAGAGAGATGAAAAATGAGCAATCGCCTTCGCCGGGGTTCCAACCACGGACCTCTGGAATACCGGTCTAGCGTGCAGAGCCACTACACCACGAAGGCATGCTAGGAAAGCGGGAGAAATAGCTTATACGGTGACCTAGTCGCAAATTCATGGTGGTGATGCATTATTGTTCACCACCTTTTAGTTCGGGCGCCACTGTAGAGACACTGGTTACCTTAAGCGGGAGATGTGAAAAATGAACAATAACCTCCCTGGGACTCGAACCTGGACGTCTCGAATACGTGCGGAGTGTGCTGTTACACTACGAAAGCATGCTGGAAAGAGGGAGAATATACCTTGTAAATGTTCTATTTCTGCGTATTTAGGAATTTACTCTGAAAATTCATTATCGAAATTAAATTTAATTTTTGTTTATATTGTTGGAGCAGCTTCTTTTTTTTTTTTTTTTTTTTTTTTTTTTTTTTTTTTTTTTTTTTTTCGTTGATTTTAGACCAGAGTGTTATATTTAAATTTATGGAGCAGGTAGAATATTTTCTTTGATCATGGGATTATAAAAATGCCACTCTAACAGCATGATTTTAAGCTTTGGTAAACATTTGGATCAATTTGTTACTTGTTAAAAGACGTCCTAATATACATTTGCATTGCCGCCGTTTCTAGACACCCGAATTAATTAAAATTACATCTCATTCAGATTATGTCTTACCATGCATCAGATTGTCTTTTTCAATCATAATTTTAACATATAATCTATTTCTGCATATAGTTATATCTTTTATTTTCAGTCTCTTACATAATATTTGCTGGTAGTTTACTTGCTGCAGATTATCTGATACGATGCTAATTGATCAGATTACAGTTTTCACAT